TCTCTGGTTTGGAAGCCCATGTTGGAGCACGCCACCTCTCAAGCACTTCAACTTGGGAGAGACTGTGGTGTTGGAGGACTTCCTGGCAGTATTTATAGAACATGCGAGAAGCAGTGCTTGCACCACAGGTTCGTGGGGAAAGCAGAAGCAGGCAATAAAGGAGCAAAGAAGAATTGAGTTCATTGCCCGAATCTCCCTCCCGTCTCTGAGTCCTGCAGTGCTGATAAGGATTGGCTGCTGGGGTGCGACTACATTTACTGTCTTGGCTAAAGCTGATGGAAACGGCATACAAAATTGCAACTCCCTTTATAATTGTGTTGACACCTCAACAGAAACATGGGGAAAAGGCATAGAATAATAATGCGCGGAAGAAAAAGTGTAAATGGCAAATAATTTTATGAAAAAACTCAATCTAACCGGAAATCAAAGACTGTTCACTAAAACAGCAATGAAGATCTAAATAGACAAAGTTTAAAAAACCCTGAAAAAGGTCAGTATCCAAAAAATAGAGAAATTATTTAAAAAACATGTACGGTCATACAATAGAATATTATCCTGGCATTAACATTATGTTTGTAAAGAATATAAAACTAATGACACAGAAACACTCACAATATACTGAAATGAAAAAATCAGGAAACAAAACTGTATAAATGGTATAAACCCAACTGAAAAATGTGTTTATGAGGAGAAAAAAGTACTAGAAAGGAATCTTTCCAAACATTTACAATGTTTATTTCTGGGTGGCAATTTTTATTGCCTTTTTTCTATTTTTACATATTCCAACATGTCTAAGTGTGGATGAAGAGAGCCCAGCCAGGAGTCAGGGTTACCCGGTGTACAGGCCATGTCTATGAATTGGTGGATTCAGAACAATCCAGATGGTTCCCCAGGTTCTTTTGAGCGGAAACATTTTAACCACTCCCTCAGGAAGGATTGACAGAACATCTGTATAGAACTGTGTACCATGAACCTACCTTGGGGCCCTCCAGAGCTAGACCCTGACCACACTGGGAAGCAGGGGTGAGTTTGGTGCCTCCTAGGGTCATTTTACTGGCCCCTTTTCTGCTTCAGCTTTCAGTGGTCTCTCCACAGAATTCACACTTGGTTGGAAGGAGGTATAAATGGCAACCTCTTCAAGAACTACTTCTCCTAGCCCTGGCTGGTGTGGCTCAGTTGGTTGGAGCCTTATCCCATATACCGAAGGTGTGGGTTCAATTGCAGGTCAGGGCACACACCTAGGTTGCAGGTTCGATTCCCTGTAGGGGCGCACATGGAAGGCCAACTGATGCCCGCTCTCTCTATCCTCCACCCCTTTCTCTAAAGTCAATAAACATATCCTCAGGTGAGTATTAAAAAAACAAAAAGACGAACTACTTCTCCCAAAGTGCCCTGACTAAGTAGGGCTAAAAATCTTACCTTAAAGAATTGAGGCCCGCATGGCACCAGCTTTAGGAAAAAGCTGGAGGGCAAATATTCAGTATGTAAGCACCGTGGGACACTTTGCTCTGAGGCTCCTCCCCGCCCCTGCCTATCTGCCTGGTAAATTGCACTCGCTCGCCCCGCCCCTGCCTATCTGCCTGGTAAATTGCACTCACTCGCCCCGCCCCTGCCTATCTGCCTGGTTAATTGCACTCACTTTCACAGCCGTTCCTCCTTTTCACACCTGCTGCTTCTCTCCCAGAGCCTAGGGCTCCCTCTCTCCTCGGGCTCCCAGAGGACCTTGTAAGTCGCTCTACTGCGACAGTGGCCCCATCGCTCTGTGCCTCCTTGTCTGTCTTCTTTCGTGTTAGGCTGTGAGCCACCTGAGTGTCTCATGTTCCCTGTATCCACAGCATCCAACCCAAGGCCCAACTCGGAGTAAGTGACAGATGTAGGACTCACTGAAGGACATCTCAAGGCCCCGAGCCAGGCAGTGACCTCAGTGACCTCCTGGCCCTGTGGAGGGCCTGTTTCTGGGTCTCTTCACTGTCATCCCTTACAGCAGTGATTTTCAATCCCTGTGCTGCAAGAATTTTCAAAACATGCAATACCTGACTATTCGGTCAGGGGTACAGCCTCTTTTCCTTGATTGTCAAATAAAATATGACAACAGTCAACACAACAATAGCTGTCTGGTGTGAAAAATCAAAATGAAAACTTTTGCTTTTTGTCAGATGGGCAAAAAATGTAGTGTATTTTTTGGTGTGCTGCAGAATTTTAGTGGTCTATGTGCCATGAGAGGAAAGGTTGACAATCCCTGCCCTAGAGCAGACAAAGCAGACATAACTGACCCTACTCTCTTTGGATTTTATCAGGATGGGATAGCCCTTACGTGACAAGTCATGAACTCAACCCCCTAAACTCCTAACCCCTAGCGATCCTCAGATTTTTTAACCTGGGGGTGTCTCATCATGGGAGGGGATCAATCTCATTGGTTAGGATCAATAATTTTTAAGTGAAATAGAACAGAATATAATACAAGGGAAGAATGATTACTTTTAAAACTCCAAGCAGTCCCCAAATAGTAATGCTAAGGGTTGTTTTATGAACTTTTTGTTTCGTGTGTGTGGGTGGGTGTGTGCACGCGCATGCGTGCGGGTGTGCGTCACGATGAAAAACGTCGAAAGCTGCTCCCTGAAACTCCTTAGAGCAGAAATGCTTGGGAGGCGGCGTCTCCACCACCGTCTTCCCAAAGAGATTTTCCTTAGAACTAGTTCGGGGTCCAGAGAATTTAGAGGACACAATAGTTGTTTTGATCATGTTGAATAGTTAGTCTCATATCTATCCTCCCTTCCTACCCACGGATTTCCTGAAGCCGGGTTTTTGTCCTGGGTTCTGAGAAACAGCCCATACCTGATAGGTATTTCAACCGAGGCCCGCCCCCGCCCTGCCCCGCCCCCACGCAGCCCCGCCCCCACGCGGCCTTCGCTAAGGATGCTCAGCCTCCTCGGGGCTTGGGGCCTTGGGCGTGTGCACAGGGAGTACCTCCAGGCTGTGTGTGTGCTCGGCTCGGCCCTGTTGGTGATACAGCTGGTATCGTCAGACCCAGGCTCGAGGGCTGAGCCTGGACCCATCTCACTGATTCCAGCAGCAGTGCCGTGTACGGACCGAGGCTGCCCTCGACCTTGGGCAACCCAGGCTCTCTGTGCCTCGGTTTCCCCATAGGTGAAATGGGGATAGTAACTGCACCTGCGTCACAGAAATGTAAGGACCAAACTACCTATCTGTACACAGTGCTTAAAGCAGCCTGTGCACACAGTTCGTTATTTCCATCTCATGGTCTCAAGCATGTATGATAACTGTTATCATATAAATGTGATGTAATAACAATCCAGATCTCCTGACCAAGTTCTGTGTTCTTTTCCCCGTAATAACATCCACTGCAGCCTGAGGTGCCTCTGGCTCTGACTTCCAGTGCCAACCCCGCCCCCCGCCCCCCAGTCTCTGGGCCCTCTTGGCTCAAAGGTGGCAGATGGTGAGCCCAGAGGACAGTCCCTTCTCATGATTTTGTATGGGGGCCCAGATTTGGTCTTTGGGGGGAGATCTATTCTCTGGGGAGTGTGTGTGTTAGTTTGATAGGCAATCAGAAATGGTCACACTGGCTTTTTCTTTTTCTTTTTTTTCAGTTCTAGGCTAACTGGACAGTGATGAGCACATAAATAGAATCATTATGTCCTCACTTAAATTTTTCATAAAAGACTCTCTCGGGAAGTGAGTAGGGCAGTTTGAGACAGAGACACAGGAGCATCTTAGGGCTGAGCAGCTCTGCGGGACGCCCTGGTGTTCCGCGCGGTGTTCCCGCGGACACGCCACAAAGACCCAGGACCTGCCCGTTTCTCTCCATTTGCAGCCCTGAGGGAACCAGGCTTCCGCATGCAGCCTGCAGGTGGAGCCTGAGGAAAGTATAACGGTAGCGATGGTATTGTGAAAACACTTCGCTCTGTGGGCTAGAGCTCCCTGACGACCGCACTGCCCGCCGGACCCTCCGCAAACAGGTGCTCCTGCGCCACACTTCGGGTTCTGAAGTGCTTTTTAAGTCATCAAAGATATTTGGATGTGTTAGGGATGGTTCTCCTGCATCCATTCCATCAGTCAGGGTTTGGTTTGGTTTTGCTTTGTTTTTGAGAATTCAAACCCATGTGGGTTTTATATGGAGCTTCTATTAACCAAAGGATTTGATAAAGTGGAGTTTTCTGATGGTTAATAAACCGCTGTCATTCTCAAACTGTCCTTTTCGCAGATTTGTGCTGGGCTGGGCTGGGCCTGGGGACTGACCAGCGACCGGGTGACTACTGGGCTTGTTGGCACTCAGGGGCTCCAGGCTGTGAGTGACCTTAGGCTGCCCAGCAGGGCCGCAGGGAGAGTTCTGGGCACCCACAGGATTCGAGGACGGCCCTGCACCGGGTTTACAATCGGGCCACGTGATGCAGATAAAATAAGAACTGACTTCAGCGTCAGCCCTGAACTCACACCAAGAACTTTCTGAGAAATAAAAATCCCATTACTGACTGTGCAGCTGAGGTGTTCACACATCCACACGGTGTAATGCTGACTGAAACCAAGCCACAGACAAGGAGAATCACCTGGTGGTGCTCCCCACCCAACCACCGAGACCAAGGTCAAGCCGCTGCGTGTCCAGGACCGCGGGAGAGGCAAAGAGCGGGGTTAGCACACCGCTGAGACCCCTACCCCGCAGTCTCATGCCGGCCAGGCTTTTAACAGTAGTTTGACATTCCCTCCGAGAAAACAGCGGCTGGGACTACTGCCCTTGAAAAACTGAGAGGACCTCCATGTGACAGACACATTCCCTTGTCCCCGTTTCCAGAGTAGGGCCCACGCTTGTTCTCACACCCCAGCTTTGCAATGAGAATATCTTCTCATTTAGAGACTGGAATGGAGCCAGATTTGGGATAGGTACCCTACATCCCCCTGCGCCCCCTGCACCCCCCCCCCGTGCCCCCCTGCGCCCTCCCTGCTGGCCAGCCCGGCGCCCGGTGGGCAGCTCACAGCCCGCTTACCTCCAGCACAATCTCTTTCAGCTGGAACTGCTTCTGGGCCACCTTATCTGAAGACACGGGCTCATGGTAGTAGAGGCACAGCAGGTCGAATTTCTTCAAGATCTGCTTGAAGTTCTTCTCAGTAAGACTCACGACGCGGTCCTTGCCATCATAGGTGGGGAAGTTCAGCCCCTCTTCTGCCCTGCAGGAGGACAGCAGGTAGAACCCCACGACAAACAGGTGAGTCCTCTTCATCTGGGAAGAGTCTGGATTTTCTTGCGCAGAAATACTGAGTGCAGGAAAAAGGAGACAAAACTCTTCGGGGGCTTGTTGAGAGAGGTGGGGAGCAGAGAGGCTGGGTTTGTCCTTCCTGCCCTTCCTGGGCCCCGAGCCGACTCTTCACCTCCTGGGGTCCGGCTACTGTGGTTGTGGACTCGGGAAGAAGAGAGCTGCGGCGCACACACGCACGCACACGTGGAGACTGAGAGCCAGGCGGGGCTGCCAAGCCCAGATACCTCGCATAGCTCTGCCCAGCCCCTGTCCCATCAGGAACTCCATTTTTAGGATGCACTTGTTTCAGGCTAAAAATAAATCATGCAATGAGTAAAAAAGTTTTCCGTGCCACTGTTGAGGGATTCACTGATATGGTCTGTCAGAGGGGTGGAGCGGGAGGAGGCCGGAGGGAAAGCGGAGGACAGAGGATGGGGACATAGGAAATCGGAGGCCAGGAAGGTCAAAGGAGAGAGATGAACTTGGAGGGAGGAAGAGAAAATGAGGGGAGAGAGAGGAGACTGCCCTGGACACAAATGGTGTTACAATGTGCACAGTGCCTCTCAATTATTGAATTATTCTGTTATCTAAGGAGAGTCCAGCCTGTCCTTCTAGGGACAGCTCGTCTGTCCCCTGCCTCGTCACTGCTGGCACGGGACAAGAAGGAGCCCCGAAGTGGACTCCATGTCCTGCCTGTACTGTCTTCTGTCCTCTCTCCTTAGAAACCCTGCTCTGGCTGGCCACTTGCCATGCCACATGGCTCTGCCAGTCACTGGGCTGAGGGTACAGGGACACCCCTTCCCACCAGCCCCCCACATTAAAGGGCCTTAGGGGTGCCATCCTGCCCAAGACCACAGTTCCTTCCCACCTCCCTGCCCACACCCGAGCTCTGCTGATGCCAGGAGGACCCATCCCCATTTTAAAGGTAAATACAAGTTCAACAGTCTTCCTCAGAAAACTTCTGAGGTTTTCGGCTATCATCCCTGCCATATTTTTCTTTTATGTTAACCCCTAATGTGTCACTTTTGTTAGACACAGAGTGACAGATGCGAGTTCAAATCTCCACTCTGCCTATTAATAGCTGAATGAACGTTGGAGGGTAGCTCTCCGCCCCTGCGTCTCAGCTGCCCCATGTCAAACGGGGATGACTATATTGTAAGGTTTGGACATATTGATGAAAAGCATGATATAAAGCAGGTGCCCAAACACGGCAGCTGTTATACCTACTTCATTCTCGCTGGAGATGCTGGGACACAGGTTATTATAATAATTACTTGTTAGTGTCTAGTAGTAATGGTTTGTGAACACTTCCCTGTCCATTTTCTCTCTGATTCCAGCCGGCAATCAACGCAGAGTGGTGCTCATTTTGCAGGTGAGCTGAGGTTCTGGGAAATTGGCAACTTTGAGATTTTGTCTAATTGTCTCCGGGAGCACTCCGCTCTACCTCGGAGCTTGGAGCTCCTGGCTGCTTTGATTCTGACTCAGGACAGTTCCCCTTTGGACACCCATCTTCTTAAGCGGCCCTTTGGGCCAAGTTTTTGTCTGCCTTCCATTAAGAGGCCAGCCTTGGAAGTAGCGCGGACCTTGTCGCTCATAGGTCTGCAGGGGACAGAAGGAAAGGGAGGCTCAGGGCCTGGGCACGTGGCTGCTAGCCTCTACTGCAGCCAGGGCCTCATGCGGAGAGTCCTCCTGACTGAGTCGTCCCTTCTCCTGTCTAGGAAGCCAGGACTTGGAGAACTTACCATTAAAACCCATGGCAGGGTTCAGGTCCTTCCGATGGTGAATTCTCTATGCTTTTAAATATGGGGACAAAAATAGTCATTCCAAGGCGTGGCTCGCTCTCCAGGTCATTGCCAAGCGTGGGAGACCTCTGCTTTCTTTAGAAAATGTAGGGGGGAAAGATTTCCGAGGGAAACAGCATGTGTCTTGTCTTTTTGAGGTCAACTTCCTAAACTGTTCCCAGTTGTCTCGATCTCACTGGGGCTTATCTTTATTTAGAATTTGCTCCACTTTTCTTAATATATGATTTTGTATTGTTACTGAAAAACTGGGAGATATTTAAAGTCAAAGTGTTTGAATTTCCTACTAACTTGCAAGAGACGAAAAGTAGCAGGGCAAAGAGATAATTTTTAAAATTTTAGTGTGGCTCTCAAGTCTGGCTTGTGGCCAGCTGAGTATTAACAGAAAAAAAAAAAAACCAACAACAACAACAACAACAAAACCCCAGTGTGGAAAGTCCCTGTGCCCGGATCCCGCAGCGTTGGGGCCTCGCAGCCCAGCCCTGCCGGCAGCACCACCGCTGACACATGCGTGAGATCAGGTCCCCGCTGTCTGTCCACGGTGGGTGTGAGGATCTAAATTTGTGCCCCACTCTTAGTAACGATACATTTTCATGGTCTGGTTTTTTTTATCCTCACTCAAGGATATTTTTCTATGGATATTTTTAGAGTAGAAGGGAGGGAAGGAGAGAGAGAGAGAGAGAGAGAGAGAGAGGGAGAGAGAGGAGCAAGAGACACATTGATTGGTTGCCTCCCGCACGACTCCCACGGGGTGGGGGATCAAACCCTCAGCTCTTCAGTCCGTGGGCCAATACCTGATGAGCCAAACCAGCCAGGGCTCGTGGTCTGTTTTTTTATGTGTCAGTCTTTTCTCTGGCTGTCATTTATTTTCCTAATTTTGTTTTACTTTGACTTATTGCTCACCCACTTTAATTTATTTTGTGAACAGAAAATGCTTCTGACATTTCTGAGTCAACTTTGCATGGAGCGAATCAGCAGCTGCCCAAGGCAATGCACCGCATTCTCCTCGCTCTGTGGGGGCACAGACTGCGTGTCTCACTGTGCCCTTGGCAGGTACTGCTTTGGAACAAGAAGGGACAAAACACAATAAACAAATGAATACAAATACATGTCAGTTATTGTCACAATACATGACATGGGCCCCTTGCTTTTGCTAACAATTTTTAGTCCATCACTTTGTGAGGCGCCCCTTGTGTTTATTTATTCTTGACAGGCGGCCGTGTCATTGTATATACTATTTAATTTGATCTTCACAATAATCCATTTGATAGATAAATAAGGATTTGAAGCTATGGTCTTTCATTAATTAGTTAATTAAATACATTTGTGTTGAGCATCTTCTATGTACCAGACACTCTTCTGGGTACTGGAGGTAGACACACTGTAAACCTGAACTCACAGAGCCTACACCTTACGGGGGAGACAGACAGTGATCAAAGACACACAATGTGCGCAGTATGACATCGAGCAGAGACACCTGCTCCAAAGAACAGTTGAGAAGGCCAATGGAGAGGCTGTGACAGTGGTGGCGGTGGCCCTTTTGGACCAGAGGTTCAGGAAGCATCTTTGAGGAGGGAACATGGGAGCAGAAGAGAGGGGTGGGAGGGGTGAGACAGAAAGCAAGTAGCTCAGAAGGCCAGTCCCAGGGACGAGGGGAAGCCTCCACGCTAGAAACCCGCGGGAAATCCACCTAGAGGGAGCTGTACCCACCTCTTCCTCCTCCTCAGCATGTTTTCTCTGACTTTCTCATGTTAATAAAATGCATAGGTTCATACCTACACTGGAAGGTCTGCCGGGCAAGGAAACCTATCTGATCAGCTCGGAAACAGTTCAGAGTGACAGAGCCGTGACCAGGAAGTCAGGAGGCCTGGGTTCTGACTGGTCTGACACAGCCTCCCCCGCTGCGCGACCTTGGTCAAGTCTCCTCCCCTCTTGGTCCTCACATTTCCAGTTTTGGGAAAAGAGGGTCAGACTCACTGGTCTCCTGTGGCCACTTTCTGGCTCCGACATTTTAAAGTCAGTTAACCCACAGAGGATTTCCTTTGACCAGGATGGGTCTTGGCACAGCCCACAGGTGTGAGGAAGTCTGATGAATGTTACCTGTGGAGGAAGGTTTTGATGGGCGTGTTTCTTCTCAAGTCCAACCCTGCATCTGTCTTCTCCAAGGCAAAGATCTCCTAGGACGTCAGTTTGTCCGAAGGGCTCTTCTTTGGCTAAAATACTCCCCCAAGTGGAGAACATCGGTATGGCAACGTTCTTTGTTTGATCCTGTTTCCCCCTCCTTCGGCCTAGGCCACTGACCAGGGAAATACAGCCTATTTACCTGGTAGAGAGAGAGCCCCCACATGCTTGTGCCTGCAGCCCTGCGTTCCTTGCCCTCAGGCTTCCGTTCAGAGCCCCAGGCCGCCCTTCCTTTTCACTCTGGCTTCCCTGCACCAGGAAGCACCTCAACAGAACCAGGCAGAAAACCACCACTGCTCAGTGGAGAGAGCCCCACAGTTCCACCAGAAATGATTCCTGGTTTTCACAAATGTCACTTCCTCAGGGAGGCCTCACTGTGGACCAGGGGCTGATGTTCAGGTCCCCTACACACCATGTTTTCCTTGGAAACACTCTCCCATGGGGAGCCTTTCCCCGTAGACTGGGCGATGGGTGCGGAGACGGTGTCTACTCGTAAGTTCTGCCTCCAGTCGTTCTCCTTACATATTTATTAAATAAATTGGAAGCACTTACTTCATGCAGGTTTTGTTTTAAGCACTTCACGAGTTTTACTCTTTTATTCTTAGCAACCGTATGAGGCTGGTAATTTTAGCACTCCCATTTAACAGATGGGTAAAACAAGGCACAGAGAGGTTAACTGACTTGCCGAGGGTCACATGGTTCCTACAGCAGAGCTGGGATTGAACTCGCTTGTGTCTGTTTTCTACCGCTTATAACCACCAGATAGATGCCGCTCACAGGGGGCTGGTAAAGTCACGAGGGCAAGCCAGGAATGACTTCAGAGCGATTGATGGCTGCCCACAATGTGAGACTGCTCGTTTGGGGATGAGCCCTGGGCCTTGGCCCTGCACTGAGTCACCTCCTTACCTTCCAGTGTGCAGGAGGCAAGGGAAGCAGGGGACTATCGTCTTCAGTGCTCACGGGAGCCAGTCCCTGGGCTCATCCGTTCTGTATATCATCTCATTTAAATCCTATCACGCTGAGTATTATTCTTTCCATGTCACAGAGGATGAAATTGAGTTTCAGCCAAGCCAAGCCATCTGCCTGTCACACAGCTGGTAAGTCACAGAGACTGGGTTTGGACCAGGATCAGTCTGGCTTGTCGGGACCCTGGGCTGCTCTGGGTAAGGAGGGGAGGCCGTCTCTGTTTTCTTCAGGGGAAAACAAAAATGGGAAAACTTTGATT